GGCATTTGCCAGAGAACACCAAGATTGACAAATTTGAAACTGGTGCCCTGTGCTCTTCACAGATGAAAGCAGGTTAACACTGAGCACCTGTGACAGACGTGACAGGGTCTGGAGACGCTGTGGAGAATGTTCTTATGTCTGCAACATCCTCCAGCATGATCAGTTTGGCAGTGGGTCAATAATGGTGTGGGGTGGCATTTCTTTAGGGGGCTGCACAGCCCTCCATGTACTCGCCATAGGTAGCCTGACTGCCATTAGGTACCGAGATGAGATCTTCAGACCCCTTGTGAGACGATATGCTGGTGCGGTTGGCCCTGGGTTCCTCCTAATACATGACAATGCTAGACCTCATGTGGCTGGCGTGTGTTCCAGTTCCTGCAAGATGAAGGCATTGATGCTATGGACTGGCCCACCCGTTCCCCAGACCTGAATCCCATTGAGCACATCTGGGACATCATGTCTCGCTCCATCCACCAACACCACATTGCACCCCAGACTGTCCAGGAGTTGGGGGATGCTTTAGTCCAGGTGTGGGAGGAGATCCCTCAGGAGACCATCCGCCACCTCATCAGGAGCATGCCCAGGCATTGTAGGGAGGTCATACAGGCACGTGGAGACCACATGCACTACTGAGCCTCTTTTTGACTTGTTTTAAGGACATTACATCAAAGTTGGATCAGCCTGTAGTGTTTTTTTCCACTTTAATTTTGAGTGTAACTCCAAATTCAGAACTCCATGGGTTGCTGAATTTGATTTCCACTGATAATTTTTGTGTGATTTTGTTGTCAGCACATTTAACTATGTCATGAACAAAGTATTTGATAAGAATATTTCATTCATTCAAATCTAGGATGTCTTATTTTTGTGTTCCCTTTATTTTTTTGAGCAGTGTATAACAGATAATCAGAGTTGGAAGGGATCTTGTAGGTCATCTAGTCCAACCCCCCCACCCATATAATAAATAACTGTACTAAACATGAAATAAATTTGTATTTAGATTTTAAAACAGTATCCCCTTAAAATTACAGGATTATATAAGGATAAGTTCAAATATAAAGGGTGAGGAATCTCTGGTCTTGCTGAACTACAATTCCCAACAGTGAAACTTACCAGAAATGTTCAACATTTATAAATACATAGATTTGCCATTCCTGATTTAGTTATAGGATTATAAAAGGACTACAATGATATCAGATAATAACAACTATAGTTAATGTATGGAATTTATATTCCCTTGTAGTATGTTCACTTTTTCTGAAACACATATGCTTAGAACAGGTCTTTCATTATTTCTACTGAAAAATTAAGCCTGTTCATTAAAAAATTCTAAACTAACTCTTATACCTTGAACATTTATACGACAAAGTTTTTGAAAATGGAATTAATTTGATAGATGGTCTCAAAATTATTATTTCACAGTAAAGGAATTCCTTGCCAACACAGGAAATCTGCTAGAAGAGATTTCATTCAAACAGATCATTCACTTAAAACTATAATCAAGGAAACTCCAATCTTTTAAGGCAAATGCCTACAAAGAAAAATACTGTAAATTCTGGGGCCATTAGACCATAAAATGTAAGAAATTGATCTGGGATATTTCTATTAGGTGCTCAAAAATATCCGAAGGTGACAGAATCTTTCAAGTTTTGCTATTCTTTTTCTAATTCTAACTGTAGAGTGGAAAACAAGCTCATTAACGAAATAAGATTTCAATGATACTGAATAATATCAATAAATATTTCACACTTTGAGGGAATTTCAAATCTTTTTTTAACCATTATGATTTTCAGCTCAGCTTTCTGAATTTCTTAAAATATTAAAATGGTTTCTTTGTGCTAATTGTGAAATATTGTCATTTTTAAAATATCAGCTTAATCCTATTTTTTATTATTTAGAGCTACCCCTTGAATAAAGAAATTGAAATGATAATTCAAATATAGCTGATTAATGTAAAACACATGTGCAAACATGCAAATATTACGTATTAAAAACACATTAGAAATATAACATGGAACAAGCAGTAATTATGATATAGTCCTTTCCACACAGAGATTTCAATGGCAAATGAAAAAAATATAATTGGAGGATGATGTCCTGATTTAAACAAAATTGGGCTGCTACTTTAAATAGAAATGTAAAATATGGGCATAAAGTAATCTTCTTTGTGCTTATTTATTTACTATATTTGTATGCAATCCATTCCCCAGAGCCTCAGGACAGCTTACAGAAACAGAATTAAAACAGCAGAAATAAAATGCATTAAAACAATAAAAATTACAATTTCTGTTAGTAATTCTATGCTAGTTATTCAAACAGAAGAGTAGAAAATACTTCAGCTGTGTTCCTAAAGTACTATAGCTGTGGAAGGTGACAAAGAACAAAGAACTTGCTAAAGGGAATGCACAGTGTGTAAACTTTCCTGTTAAGGAGCTTCAGTTAAGAGTTTTTGGGCAGAAACAAATTCACAGCAGTGCAAGTGAAGAAATCTTCTTGATACATATTCAAGAAAGGAAGACGATTATACAAGCAGAATAAATACAATTGCACACATTCTACCATTTGCTAGACATTTCTATCACTTAGCACACCATTAGCAAGTCACATTTGCTGCTTTTAAAATAGCATTGTAGCACAATAGCACAATTTGTTATTCCAAGTTGTGCCAAGAAATTTAGATTCCTTTCGTAACAGGTAGAGAGGAAGCTTTGTAGTCAACCAGAAAACAGTTTGTTTATGGCCAACCATATTCAGCTGATGCCAGTTACCAGAAACAAAGCATGTAAATTATTCATTCATTCATTCATTCATTCATTCATTCATTCATTTAACAAATATATGTAGCCACTCATCTACCAAAGGTACTCTGGATGGCAGAGAGAAATAAAGAACAAAAGCTAAAATTCACAAACACTTAAAAGGAAACTTAAGGACTTGGAGCACAGTAGCTCACGTGGTTAGGATGCTGGGTTGGAGATTAGCAAGCCCAACTGTTGCTGCATGGCAGGGTCATCCATCCCCTGTGCTAAAGTGATCAGCTAATCCTTTCAACCCAGAAGCGCCTTAAACAGTACCTCCAATAGGAACGGGATAGGAGGACCCTGACAAAAATCTTAACATCAATCCATCAGGCATATCCACACCCACAATTCCAATAAAACCCCAATCTCATTGCCTGGGGTAATAACTAGATAATCACAGCATTCCAGATCAGAAAGACAGAGGCTGTCCGTATCTTAGAGGGGAAGCTGTTGCATAAAATGAGAGACTGACAAGCTTCCAAGGATCCACAGGAGAACCAGAGTTTGCACATTTTGCCTGATCTAATAGGTTTGGGGCGGGGGGGACGGGACACTGGGAGGGACAGTCTAGCAAATAATCCGGCTTCATGTCATATAAGGCTTCAAAGTGCTAATACCCTGAAGGGCAGCCAGAAGCCTACTGGGAACCAGTGCAGTTCAAATAACAGCGATGTCACATAGGCATACTGGGAAGTAACCAATACTCCCTTATGCCATTCCATTATGGGCCAGCAGAAATTCCAAATGCTTTTCAAAGGTAGCCCCATGAACAGCATCCTTCAATAGCCCAACTGGAAGGTAATTAAAATCTAGGATATGGGCACAATTGATACACAAGATGACCTAGGATGTGGACGCAACTGGTACACGAGATATGCAAAGACCTTCCTAGCCACAGCTGCAAACTAATTTTCATGCAGGAGCTGCACAGGAGGACCCCCCCCAAAACACATCATCTCTGATTGGAAGAGCATTACACATCCAACATTGATAGAATATCACTAAGATATTTCTTTGTTCTACATTGCCAATATTCCTTCTTAACTATGAAATGCATTCCTCATCTTCAAAGATAATAGAAGTTTCTTAACATAGGAGAGAACCCCAGTATGCCCCAGTGGCATTTTAACATTTTCACCAAGATCAACAGAAGCGTAGAGCCAAGAAAATGTCCATGCTACATAACTATCGTTGAATACTACAGCTAAATATGTGATAATTAGTCCAGGCAGGACACAACTTTGAAATCAGTCAAAGAAACATTCTTATGTAGAAGTCACCTTGCAATGGGTTCTCATAACTACAGTATAAATATCATCAGACCAACAATGGATTCATTTATTTGCTTGTATTTTTATAATTATTTACATCCTGTCCATTTTCTCAAAGGTCCATTTTCTTAAAAGTCTCAAGGAGATTTATCAAGGAAGAACAATCCAATAAAAACAAAAATCTCAACAACTCAATTAACTCAAGCAAGTTTTATATTAGACACCATCTGGAATAAATTTTCAGTGCCTTTTTTTGAAGGCCAGAAGATTGAAGATATCCTTATCTTAGGAGGCAGGGTCTTTGAAAGAGAGAGAACTCCAATTAGAAGGCACTTTCTGAGCCCCAGCCCATTCATTTCTTGTAGGATGGGGATTCTCAGTGTACTATCCCTAAAAGTTTGTAAGGAAAAGATGATTCAATACCTATTTGGGTACAGCTTTTAAGTTGAATTAGAACTGCAAGAAAACCAAATAATTAAACACCAACAAGTAAAATACAGCTGAATATACTAGTCTCAATTAACTGCATTCTGGATCAGTTGAGGCTTCTGAACTGTCTTCAAAAGCAACCACATGTAGAGCATATTACTGCAGTCTACATGAAAGGTAGCATGGATAATGAGCATTTGGACTTTTTGCTTCCAAAATGTGTTCATATTAAGAAAGAGCTTAACAAAATAATGATTCACTGCAATTTCTTGGGATTAAAAATCAAAGGAATTACAAAAAATGCTTCATGATCACTAATAAGGGATTTTTTAAATAAATTAGATGAGAGTACATTCTCTTTTCTATGACATTTTCCAGAAACCAATTAATCAAAACAGTAAACAAAATTATGCGCATATAAGCAATATGCACCAAGGTACTTCTGTAGAGTTGCTGAAGGGAGTGAATACAGAAAGATAAGAATTTTACAGAATTACCTTACCTTTAAGAGAGCCAGGGCTACATTAAAGATTACATTCAGACCCTGCAGTGTAGAGAAGAAAGAAACAAAAAATAGTATTCATCCAGCTTGCAAGGGATTTACCTAGGTAAACAATACTCATACTAGGATTGTGTCAAGGTTTTTGTAGATAAACATACAAAAAACAATATTTTAAAGGATTTAATCGAGTAATTCTCCATCCCATTTCTCACCAGCATGTGCAGGGAAACAAAAGTTTATGGGACTAAAAAAAAAATATCAATCAATTCCAACTTCAAAGTTGGAATTGATTGAATTCAAAGGCGAGAAATGTGAAGGAGCTGGAAATCAGGTAGGCAAAGAAATGCCTGGGCAAAGGCATCTGGGTGATGGTGGGTGTGGCAAGCACTGCAATGGAAAAATGGGAAATGGAATGGCCGGCCAAGGAAAGGAGGAGGCCACTTTCCCTCTTTCTTCTCCCTGTTCCTCCTCCTTCCCTTGTGCAAGCCACTCCATTTTCCATTTCTCCATTGCAGTGCAGCGCCCAGGATCCACTTTGATAACAGGAGGGGTAATTTAACAACCAGTTCACCCAGGGTCAGGTTGGCTGCCACGGGAGGCTCATCCCGCATCTGTGGTGGAACTGGAGGACAGGAATGGGCCACACCTCCCACGACAGCCAACCTGCCCCTGGGTGAACCGGTTGTTAAATTATTTGATTCCCACCACTGAATCAAATTATTAAGCAATCCAATAAATAGGTTTTAAAATAATGCTTGGAAACAATCCTAAGGAAATTTTATCCACTAGAGGTCAGAACTGTAAAAGTAATAAAATGAATGCTGAACCAATTTGGAATAATTACTTCAGATCCTCACAAAACAATAGTCAAATATAAAAGAAGGAAAGTAATGGCTTAAAGACAGGCACAGAACTTATTAATCTATTGTTTAATGATCAGCAGTTTCTCCATAGCTCATTTCTCTTTCCCATGTGTAGGAATTTGCAGAGTTCTTTTTAATATTTATGATACTCACACGCTAATCTTAAACAGAGTTGTTCTACACTCGTTATAATCATGCAAAAATACAGGCAGTCCTCCACCTACAACCACAATTGAGCCCAAAATTTTTGTTGCTAAGTGAGAAATTTATTAAGTGAGTTTTGCTCCATTTTACGTCTTTTCTTGCCACATTTGTTAAATGAATCACTGCAGCTGTTAAATTAGTAATACAGTTGTTAAGTGAATCTGGTTTCCCCACTGATTTTGCTTGTCAGAAAGTTCCAAAAGGTGACCCCGAGACACTGCAACAGTCATAAATGTGAATCAGTTGTCAAACATCTGAATGTAAATCACATGACTATGGGGATGCCGCAATGATCATAAGTGTGAAAAATGTCATAAGTCACTTTTTTCAGTTTGAACAGTGAACTGTTGTATGTTGAGGACCACCTTTAATTCTTCCTTTTCCCCTTTCCCATTCCTACATTTGATGAATCCTGTTTGTTATATATTACTTTAAAGCTAAAATTCTTCAAAGGCCTGTACAGGATGCATTTAAAACACCACCATGTCTGGATTTTTGTAAAATCAGGATTTGTTGAACAGGCAATAGTGGCCTAAATTTGCACATAAAGATATAGTTTTATATCACATAAAGCAAAACAAAACCAAAAAGAAGCATGTACACTATGGGTTAACATGTATGAATCAGTCCAACTGATTAATCAAGCAGGCTACACTAAAGAGATTAGACTACATCAATTTCTGATTAATCAAAGCAGGTTCAACTAAATTATGTATTCTGTGTTGAATGCTACTGGAAATGAGACCAGTTTTGTACTAACTCTGAACTTAGCTGAACTTTAATTATGGCTTGTTGAAACAAGTCAGATTTATAAACTGGCTGCATGGTTCATGCCATGTTCTGTTCACGAATTATCATTTGCTAAGTTGGACAAAGAGCTTTGACAGTAACCAGAAATTAAGGTAAAACTTTCCCTCCTGCCAGAGCAGAGTTAGGATATGCAACTGCAACATGTGCAAATGCAAAACTTGCTCTGACTCATTCCTTTTGTGATTTTTTTAAAATAAACTTTTGTACTTTTAACTATCCTCTAAACAATGAGGAGTTTGATTCAGACAACTGAAACAATTTTTATAATAAGTGAATGCCTTGAGTTAAATCATTCCATTGTCTAAACAGGGACAGCAAAGGATTTACTCAAATACAACTTTAAAACAAAGCTGAAAAGAAATATTGGTGGAAGAACAACTCAAACTAAAATAGGACTAAAGAATGATGTGCAAGAGGCAGTGCACCTCCATCTAATAAAAGAAGCAATCATCCTTGTAACTATAAGCTCATGAAAAATGACAATTCATTTCATGCAAAGCAAACTTCTTTATGGATAGAAGGTAATTTTACCTCACAAAGTAGTAAATCAATTATGTGGAAGACCATACAGAGTGGAAACTTGGCAGTGAAGAGGGTGAGAAACCACTGGGAGGCATACATATGAGCTTCAAGATTCTGTTCCACAAAATGGTTATATAAATCAGGCAGCTGTTCCTATGGAGAACAGTGAAAGACAAAGATGAATATAACTTTTCTTCTCAAAGATGTTAAATGCATTATCAGAATCTAAATTAAAATGCACCATTTTCTTATACTTATGAAGTATATGCTTATACTTCTGCTATATTTTTAAGCCAATGTTAGGAAATATTTGTAGAATAAACACTTCAGTAGTAAACATGAAGATCATATGTGTTTCATACATTATGTATGTTATTTATGTATGTATATTTCCAAATACACATACAGGCTGCACATTAATTATCAATACCTCAATTTTCATGGACAGTTGAGCATACCACATCCTATGTACCTATGGTAGGATATGTTCACTATTCTTTTAGCATATACTTTTTCTAAAGCAAAGAAAAATTCCAGGTAATACCTGCGTAAGTTTCTCCAGCTGATAAAATTTTCTCCGCAAACCTTCCAAATTGTTTTTATACAGGTCCCGCAGGCCATAGTCATACATGATCTTCACTAGGATACAGAAGGCTTGTTCTTCAGGCATCTGCATGGAGACCATAAATATAAAGTGACCTCCAAGAACCCTTCTGTAGATGTGTTTATGCTATGAATAGGCAAAAAGAGAAAACTAAAATATGCATTCAAATAGCTTTCAGTCAGGATTTTGTACCTGCTGCTTGTTGTGGAATTGACTGGAATTTCTCAAGAGGGTATGAATTTTCAGAATTTAAAATAACATGGGTCTTCCATATATTCAGTGAGTTCTTATAAATGTGCTTTTTTGTAAAAACGAAGTGCTATAAAAGGGAAAAAAACTATCTAATATTTAGGGATAGAACAAAATAAAACTTATCTCCTAAGTAATAGACTAATCAATCACTAATCAAAATGATTTTAATAGTATGTTGCTAATTGTGTATAAAAATACAGTGATTTAGAATTCTGTAATTTAGCAAAGCATAACCCATTTTTCCCCCCTATGGTCTGCAACTGTGTTTGAATTTCAAAAATTCCCTTTGCTTTGAGAGGCATATATTGTGTAGAATATGATTAATCCTCTCTTCTCAGTGGCCAATTGAAAATATGCTCCAGAATGATCTGGCAATTTCCTTACCTGGGACCAAGCGACAGACTTCAAGTCAAGACAAGATTATCTACTTTCACATTTAAAGAAGCAAACAACCTCACATAAAAGGAATGAACAGAAGTCTTTCCCCTATGAACAACCAAACAAAAGTCACTCCTGCCTTAACAAGGAGAAAGGCTTCCTTCTTTGACGTAAAAGCTTTTTGTATACACCAAAGCCTGGCTAAAAGTTTATAACAGGTGAAAAGAAAAGGTGTCTTTAACATCTACTCCAAGGACTAAATTTCCCTGAATTTTGAAAAGTAGGAACATCTACTTATTCTTGTAAGTGCCAATGTGAGATTAAATAGGTAGGGAAATGTACAATTAGAAATTTGAAAGGTGGAAACAAACATTTCATCTGCTTGTCTGATTAGACAACGGTGTTTCTTTTTGTAGTATACTCACATGCAGCAGAAGAACAGCAGCAAGAAAGGAATGACCTTGACAATAGCCAATTTCTTCATCGTAAACTGAATATGCCTGGAATTAAAAAGCATATTTGATTGAAATTGTAAATTATTAAATTTCATGGTCAACTGAAGTGACATGGCTCGCTATGAATGACTTGCTTTTCTTACATTCTACCATAAAGATGGCAAATGCTAATCTGAAATATAAAAGCTTGAAAGCCATTTTCCCACGCAACATGGAAATTTATTGCTCTAAATTCATTGTGTGCATGTACTTTCCATAGTATAAATTACAGCACTTTAAAAAGCATACCATTTTGTCATTCATTTCAAGCATCAATCAATCACTTGAAACAGCCACGAATACACTGAAGGAAATCAGCTTTTAACTGCTTTTTAGGAGACAGGATTCAATTTTTTTATCTCCTAAAAATTAATCTCAGCTTGTGAAAAGCATATGAAAGAGCTAATTATGCCCTACCAATACCATACATACAAATATGTGCTTTGAAGATGGGATCTAAAGCCCCGGAGAATCAAATCAAGCCTGGCATCTAAACAATAATAGTGCTTCTAACAAAGGTGAAAGACTACAATCAGTTGGCACCCCTACTGTTGTCAGGCAGTGAAATGCCTCTGGCAAGTGCTGAGGAAATAGTCTTTACTGAGGCAGAATGAGCTTGGAAAACCTCAGGAAGTCAAAACAATTCACTGGCTATCTTACTAGCATTCACAATACCTCTTGCAATTCATTGTGCTGGTGGGGGTGGGAGGTGTCTCTACTGGGTTAAAGCAGAAGTGACAGCGCTAAATCCTGCCAATACACTTAGCTCTAGTCTAGAACATTCTGGCAGTGTTCTAAATATTCACAGGAAACCCTGAGATGCACAGAATTCACGAAAAGCAGCATTTTGTGATTTATGGCATACCAAATGGCATTTTAAATTCATTTGAAAGAAACTGGTATTCTCAGAACAGGTGGTGCTTTTTTTTTTTTTGCTTGTTTACAAATAACTGTGTCCTAGTAATAAATTATAAGCACTGGTCACAGACAAACTGAAATGAATATTTTTTAAAAGCCACCTAGATACAATATAATTTTTCCTTCTCGTGGTATTCAAACAACAAGGAATGATACCTCAAACTGAGTATATTACTTGTTCTGAATTATTAATTCAACTGTAGAGATTCTTGTTCATTCATTCCCTGTCCTCGCTCCCATCATGACCACACATTACTTTATATAGTGCCTTTTGTTCTTTAAATGCCTCATTTTTCTGAGAATCTCATCTAATTATGCAATTATGACTTGTTTTGCTTTTCCCTTCACCTCAAGCTTTTCACTTTTATACCTCTTGCATACCCACTGAAATGCCTCTGTATCCTGCCCGACTCTTGCCGTATCTTATACCCACGCACATCCCCTTGAACCTCCCCCAACCCTTGCCTGCGCTCCCTCGCGGTCACAAACCCCTCATCTTTGCACACCATTCACTATCCTTACTGCACCTTCCTCACATCACAATGCATCCTTGCGCATCCTCCCAACCTTCCTGGGCCTCTCCTGTGCATCGTCATGTATCCTTATGCACCCTCTCCCTTCACACACCCCCTTGCACCCTCATGTAGCCTTCCCAAACTACCTTCAGGTCCCTTCACATCCCTGCACACCGTCCTTGACCCTCACCAACACTCCCTCAGACTTATACCCTCTCCAACCCACTCTGTGCCACTCAGACACCCTTGCACCCCCAGCACCTTCCCCGATCCTTGCTTCCCTTGCATCCCTTGCACCCTCCCTGACCCTTGCTGCACCTCAGTCCTTGTAGACCCTTGCACACCTTCCCTGGATTACACCACATGTTTTGTACATATCCCTGCCTCTCCTGCATACAGTGCCTCATTCTGTTCCCTATCACTTAGCTGCCTGGTGGCCTCTGACTTCCTGCTGGCTTGCCACACACTTTGGTTGTGGGGAACCAGTAGATTGTTGCCTTGCCATGAGACTCACTTAAAGACAGCAACTGGAACTGCAGGGCTCCCTAAAGGTAAGTGACATGGTCAAACTTTACAACCACTTTGCTTAGCAGAAATTCTGGTTCCAATTGTCATTGTAAGTTGAGGACTACCTATATTTCTTCTCCAGATTGCACATGGTGGTTTTCTTGCAAGATCTGGGAAGATGGCGTCTTCTAGGCCAGCAGTTGCCTCACAAAGAGCCAAGTCAGTAGTGGGATTCCACATTTTTTCCTACTGGTTGTATGAGAGAGAACGCGCGGAGCACTCAAAAACCGCCCTCTGTGTCAGCGCTAGTGAGGTGAGCTGTTTTTTAGCTCAGCTGAGGTGCAGCAATCCACTCTGTTGCGTGAATCAGCTGAGCTAAAAAACAAGGGAATATAGGACAGGAGAGGGCGGGGGCTGGTGGGTGGGGACAGCCAGAGGTGGTACTTGTCCGTTTTCTGAACTTTCCGCTATCAGTCCGAACCGGCTGAATACCATCTCTGGCCAAGTACACCTTGTCGACAGCAGCAGCAGCAGCAGCAAGAAGACGATAACAGTCAACTGGGGTGCAGAATGCAGGGTGACCAGGGTTTTGGAGCGGATAGATGATAGTAAGGGCAACTACAGCTGCCCTGTAATGGGCTGGGGTGGCTGAAGCTTCCTGGGGTAGCAACAAGACCCTTAATGCTGCACTGCTGGGCCAAGTTGGGACCGGGCTTCACACTGTACTGCAACTCAAGAAATTCTTGCAGCCTCAGAGCCATGGTGCACCAAGAAGACCCACATTGCTAGGGCTTCCTGGTGTGCTGCAGTTTTGCACCATACTGCTGGAGCTTCCTAGGCATGGCAGGTTTGCACAATGCTGCTGGATTAGAATGGAGGGCTGAGGTTTGGGGAGTTGGGGGGAGAAGGGCCATGGCTTCCTGCTGTAGCTCAGGGCTTCTTGCAGCCCAAGAGCTGCAATGTGCCAAGAAGCCTGAGCCACAGGGTATTCTTTCCTCAGACTCTCTGTACTCATACACGTGCATACATACATCCCACATCTTCTTTACCCAGCCTCCCCAAGCTTGCATCCCATTGTAGCAATCCCCAACTTCCACACAGCTATGTCGGGCCTTCCAGGACAGCACCTTACCCTCCTTATCTGGAATTCCCTTTGCTTTCCCCTTAATGACCTATGCATCTGGAGTTACTATGGTAACTGAGATTGCCAGGCTTGTCATCACTGTGTTACATGACATCATGTTTTATGATTGCTTAGTGACTAGAAATTTACAACTGTGGTTGTAAGTTGATGAATACCTGTATTATCCTAGTAATACAGAACCATCTTCTCTAGGTAAAACTGATCCATCTAGTCTGTTCCTCCTCAGTAGGGATGTGAGCCAGAAGACAAGGCTATTTTATTATGGCTCTCTCCCAGTGGAAAAGTCTATTCTCAGACTTTCAGCTGGCATCCTCCCTGATGATATTTAGGCAGGCAGCGAAGCCACAGCTGTTTCATAGAGCTTTTAATCTGTCATGTTAACCATGAATTTTCTACTAGTTAACAGACACTCCGTCAGAGTGTGTGTGTGTGTGTGTGTGTGTGTGTGTGTGTGAATATTTTATTATAGTTATTGGGTTTTTTATTATATTTGTAAAACTTTGGGAGTCTCTTTAGGAGTCCAAAAGTGTATTGCAGAGTCCATCCAACCTTTCCGACTTTGTGGATCGGAGGGGGGAGGGGGAGGAGAGGGGATGGTTCCATGTGAGTGGTGGACAAGAGCATGCACACGCTGTCAGCGTTCCCGGGAACCTCCATTCTGATCAGTAACTCCGAGATAAGCATAATCTCAAAAGTACTTTTTTTAGAATAGCACCTGGCACATCTGTGGAATTTCGAAACTAAAAATTTCCCGGACTTCCCACAATGTCCCAAACTACAAACCATCCCCTTTTCACTCATCATCACATCACATGAACCAATCCCAAACTAAGTTCCTTTTTTTCCTGCGCCACACTCTTTGACCTTGAACTAACGAAAGAATTCTATTTTGTCTCCTAAGAGCTACTCAATTAAAATCACTCCCCTCCTACTTTCTCAAGCTATGTGGCAGCGATGAATAAGGATTCCAAAGCTGACACATGCACAATGGACAAGCACGTGTATGCCCAACTCCATTTGCTTGGCCATTGCTCCTATAAATGAAGTACGTGCATCCATGCTTGCCTGCTGCTCATGCAAATGGGGATGCACGCACATGTGACCCCCACCACTTCTGCAGCGCAGTTCTGAAAGGCTCAAGACCCAGTAGTGGGCCGCATCCTGGAGGTTGGGGACCCCTGGTGTTCAGTACCAAAAGGGAAACAAATCAGCCAGTATTTAAAATACCTCTACATGGAAATATAACCATCTTTGGAAAATATTCAGAATCTAGGCACCCTTCTATATTCAGCATTTTCTCAGCAATTGTCACTTTTCTTAAGTTTCATTTTATAAGAACTGCAGTATTTATTTGTATGTATAGTTATATTCTCTGTTTACTCACTAAATATTTTCATCTTTCTTCTACCAGGACTTTTGAGGTAACTGAAATTCATTGGTTTTTTTTTTTTTTTGGCAAAGAATAAAGTGCAATCATTCTTAAGAGTATTCTGGTTTTTTTTTTTTTTTCTGGAAAGATGTGGCTTTGTTTATTAAGTATGTGCCTCCCTACTATTTCAGTAAAAAAATCCCACATAATCTAAATAGCTTAAAAACCAGTGTACATAGCTTAAAATAGCTTAAAAACCGGTGTTAAACTCATAGCCCGCGGGACAGATGTGTCACGTGCTGGCCACTCCCACCCCCATTTAGCAAAGGGGGGAAAAGTTGTGATACATCACATGACGACAACATGATATCACAACTTTGACACCTCAACTTGCAACCACAATCGAGACCAAAATTTATGTCGCTAAGTGAGAAATATGTTAAGAGTTTTGCCCCATGTTATGAAATTTTTTGCCACATTTGTTAAGTGAATCACTGCAATTGTTAAATCTGGCTTCCCCACTGACTTTGCTCGTCAGAAGGCTGCAAAAGCT